CGAAGGTTGAGCGGTCCAAGTGGACCGAGTTCGGGGCCTACAAGAAGCTACCGCCCAAGGAGTTGAAGGAGATCTTCCAGCGACACCCTGGAATACGACCAGTTGGTACCCGCTGGGTGCTCACGCAGAAGGCCGCCAACCTCATGAAGGCCCGCCTTGTCGTCCAGGGCTGTCAAGAGGACAAGTCCCAGATCCGTACGGACGCGCCGACCGGGTCAAGGAACGCGCTTTACCTCACGCTTGCTGCCGCCGCCCAGCTTGGCTGGGACCTCACGTCGTACGGCGCGATGACGGCTTACCTGCAGTCGGGCAACATCGAGAGGCTGCTATTGCTGCGCATGCCAGCCAAGAACACGCCGCCAGGCACATTGCCCGGCGAGATCGTGATGGCGACTGGCGCCATCTATGGTACCCGAGATGCAGGACGCCAGTGGTACCTCTACGCCCAGAATGTGTTCCAGGAGCACGGCCTCATCGAGAGCAAGCTCGAGAAGGGCCTTTACTACTTCTACGACGACAAAGGGCTCGCTGCTATGATCCACTCCCATGTGGATGATTTTCTCATCGCCCAGCGCGGAAGCTCCAGCGAGTGGAAGCGAGTCATTAGCTCCTTGCAGAAAAGGCTGCACCTCAAGAAGGTAGAGGGTATCATCAAGTACTGCGGCCGGACAATCAACAAAATCAACGAGGAGTTCCGCATTGCCCAGGCGACGGCCGCCGCCCAGGTGGATTTCATCGAACTCAACGCCCAACGCGGACGATCACCAGAGGATCGGCTTACCACCTCGGAGGTCTCGGGATATCGCCACGCACTCGGCCAACTGCTTTGGCTCGCAGTACAGACGCGAGTGGACATCGCCTGCCCGGTGAGCCTTGCGGCTCGCCGCACCAACACCGCCACCGTGGCCGACGCCAAGACGCTGAACAAGACCGTCGCTTACGTGCACGGGTCCGCCGACTTCGCCATAGTCATCAAGCGCAACATCATCGACCTGCGCACTTGCACCATCATCTGTTTCAGCGACGCGGCCTTCGCCAATGTGGACGGGGTGAAGAGCCAGTGGGGCATGGCGATTGGGCCAACTCACAAGCCACGGGACGTCGTGGCTGGACGATATGACTTGTGCCTGCCTGTGGCCTGGCATTCGGGCACGGTCAAGCGATCCGTGAAGTCGACGCTGGCCGCCGAGGGCTACGCCACTCCGGAGGGCGCCGAGTCGAGCACGTGGTTCGGCCAGCTACTTACGGAGGCCTACAACCCGAAGAAGACGCTCAAGCAGATCGACGGCCTCAGCACCAAACGATCCGGGGAGATCTATAGCGACAGCAACGGCCTGGTGACGCACATCAAGTCTGACGTGGGTCAATCCACGGACAAGCGGTTCCGCATCGTGGCATCAATGATCAAGGAGACAGTGCACCCCAACAGCCAGCTGAAGCTCTCGTGGATACCTACGTGGAGTATGGTCGCCGACGCGCTCACCAAGATCATGGAGACCGGAGTGCTCCTCGCCTTCTTCGGGGCCAAGAAGTACAACTTTGGCACTAGGCAACCGCACGCCGCCATGCTTGCCTCAGTGCTGATGACATGTCTCGGACGCGTGAAGGCACAGCACCCCCCACAGGAATGGCAAGTGCCGATGTCACATTGGATCTACTACATGACATTAATTGCGATGCTCAGTGGGATCATGATTGGATTTACATTGTTCGCAGCGCTGCGGTTTGTGGTGCGAAAGGAGATATTTGGGCCAGGCGACCCCAACCCCATCCAGATCGGGACCATCAACAACACCAGCAATGGGTCCAAGGCCGACCACACCGGGCACGCGGACACTCCCTTGCCCGGAGTATATCCAGGATGGGATGGACGATACCTTGGACGTCGTAACAACGTACAGCCTACCATCCCCGAAGACGTCGACGGAGATGTCTACATGGAGCCGCCGATGATTGCCGTCGCAGCCCAGAGTTCATCATCAGCAAGCGGATCGGCAGCGCCAGCCGCACCGCCCCCATCACCGGACAGCTTCGCGCAGCGAGCGAGCTCGGCGCCATCATCCCCGATGACGGTTCACAGTTCCTCGTCAGCCAGTGTGGTTTCGTGGAACGGATCGACGCCAACGGTTTCGCCATCAGAGATGAACGCATGCGTGGCCGCCGAGCACAACATACGTGTGGGACGCAACACACATAGTGTCTACATCACCTGCAGGACGTGCAGGAAGTATGCGTCATGGCTTCGCAGGAATCATATGACCCATGAGCCAGATTTTTCGAGGATGCGCAATAGTCTGCGCTGGGATCTACAGAATAGATGGAGGCAGCTACAAGGACTGCCCGGCAAGGCGAAAGCTCAAAATAAGATTTCGTGACGCACGCCGCCGCTCTATATTTGGCGCCACATCCTGTGGCCGATTACGTTAGTCCGCATCGCTCTGTCAGCTCGTTTTCTTTACACCTGGAGCCACATCCTGTGGCAGACTACGTTAGTCCGAATTGTCTTACCAGCTCGTTTTCTTTACATTTGGCGCCACATCCTGTGGCAGATTACGCTAGCCCGCATTGTTCGAAACTTTATTCAGTGTGCACAGGTTTTCTTTTATGTGGTGACGACCACACTATTGAGGCTTTATCTTGATAAGATAGCGCTATTTGAGTTTTGTCGCATAGCGATCGGACTCGCGCCGCTGTTCGCTTTGAGAATCCATGTATTTCTTGCCGGTGCGTGTAGCAGCACCCGTTGAATGCCCTGGGGCAGCCGGATAGCATGCCGACAAGGCCGTTTGCCTGGGTTTGTTTTGGAGCGCTCTGATTAATGAAGTGAGCTGCGATCGATGATCGTCGCTCGACGGCGCCGCGAGCGTCAATCAGGAGGAGTGTGATTCCCGCTCACTCCCCGTGCCCTTCCTTCCCCGCTCTATCTCTCACGCCCGCCCTGTCGCTGCCGTTTCGTTTCGAACTAGGGCCCTTGGCCTTAGAGCTACGCAGAGAGTTTCGCCGCGCGATTCCTCGACAAACGATATCAGCGATATCCATATATCACAATCTCGAGCCCCTCTCGGAACCCTTTGGGGCCCTCTTTGTTGCGCTGCATGCTGCTACACTGCATGCTTATCCACTTTCCAGACCAAGGCATCTCGCCTAGGCATCTTCCGTGGATGGGCTTGTGGGGAGTCGCGAAGCGTCACGAGTAAAACTGCAAATGCAACCTCGCCCAGGGCTTCAAGAGGGCCGCAGGATGAGGAATACAAGTGGTTTCAAATGGGAGGCCCTCAAAAGTGCCCCAACATGAGGAATAACACTTGTTTCAAATGCAACCTCTCCTGGGGCTTCAAGAGGGCTCCAAGAGCAGCAGCACGTGGGGAATAACATTGGTTGCAAATGCCACCCCTTCTGAAATCCTCGAGGCCCTCAAGAGGCCCCCAAGAGGCCCCAAATACTCAAAGAATCTGGGCCCCGCGGCGATGCGTTCGGACCCCCGCCGCCACGGCTGGATTCGGCTTGAACCCACGGTCATTGAAACACCGCTCCAGGACATGCGCTCGATTGCCGCCACACCACACGCCCCAACGACTGAAGGCCCCAGCCACGGACCACAAGGACCACGACGAGCATCTAACCACGCAGAATACTTGAGAGACAACCTGAATGAATACCATAACGAATTCCTCTTTGAGAAATGGGAGGAAACCGAGTGAATACTTTTCCTGGATCCTGCTCGTGCCCGCTCGCGCAAAAACGCAAAAAGTATCCACCAAGAATCCGGCAGAAAATTCACTCAAAATCCGGCAGAGCTTGCACTCAGAATCCGGCAGAATTTTCATTCAGAACCCGGAAGGAAATTCACTATGAATACGGCATAAGTTTCACTCAGAATCCCCCTTGGTCCCCCTCGGTCCCCCTCGGTCCCGCCCTCGGCCCTCGTCGTCCTCCTCGGTCCTCTCCCGTCGATCCCCCTCTTCGGCCCCCCCTCGGTCCCCCCTGGTCCCCCTCGATCCTCTCCCTCGGCCTCCCTCGATCCTCCCCCTCGATCCCCTTCGCCCCCCTCGATACCCCTTCCTCTCCTTCGATCCTCCGCCTCGGTCCCCCTCGGTCCCCTACGATCCGCCCCCATCCATCCTCCCCCTCAGTCGCCCTCTGTCGACCCCCTCGGTCTCCCTCGATCCTCCCCCGTCGGTTCCCCCTCGATCCTCCCCCTTCGGGCCCCCTCATTCCCCTCGGGCCCCCCTCGGTCCTCCCCCTCAGCTCCCGTTGAACCGACCCCTCGCTCCCCTTCGGTCCCCCTCGGTCCCTATGTGTCCCCCATCGGTGCCCCTCAGTCCCCCTCGGCCCCCCTAGGTCTCTCTCGATCCTCCCCCATCGATTCTCCCCCATCGGTCCCCGTCGGTCCCCCCCGGTCCCCCTCGATCATCCCCGTCGGTTCCCCTCGATCCCCCCCCCTCGGTCCCTCTCGGTTCCCCTCAATCCCCCTTGGTTTCCATCGATCCCTCCCCCGTTGGCCTCCGTGGGCTCCCGCAGTCCCCTCACGACGGGGACGCCTCCGGGCGCTTCTGTTCTACGGCGGGGAGGCTTCAGGACAACGCTGGAGCGCGACGGGGAGGTCGAGGGGGAAGGTGGGAAGGAACAGGCAGAGGGGAAGAGGGGAGAGGGTGGAATGAGGGGGGGGGAAGGAGTATGACAAAACCTTTGGACACAGGTATCCGTTGCCCCACAACGGACATTCGAGCCACATCTATGCAGACGGGCGCAAGTTCAAGAGCCGCAAAAGCCTCTTCTTCGCCCGCGGGTCCGTAGCCGCCTCGACGAGCTGAAGAAACTTCGGAGTTTCAGTGTACTCCATGACATCTTGTTCGGTGAAAACATAGTCCCTGGCGCCCGACGCGAGCCGCCGGTCAAAAAAATGCTGCGCTTTGCAGCACCATGTCTCCGCGCATAAATGCGCGCCGGGTATTGTGCAAAATGATATATTAAATCGTGCGGTGGCGCCCCGAAGGTACCTCTCGGCGAAGTCGATGGCCATCTCCCCGTGCGCCTCGCCCTTGAAAGCGTCGAAAGGCACGCCGTAATGCTCCATGCACCATTTTCCGCCCAGTACCTTGAGGAGGAAATCCTGGGGCGCATCTGGCCCCAAATCCCACTCCTCCCGGACGGCGTGGAGATGCTCCATCATCTCCTCGATGTCCTCGTCGTTCATGCGCTGCTCCTCGGGTGTCTCGTCGTCCGACTCACCCTTGCGCAAGCCTGACCGTCGGCCCGCAGCTCTCCGACGCTCGCTTTCCTCCTCCTCGAACTTCCCCGCTAACCACGGCCAGTGCTTCAGGAACTCATCCTTCCAAGCGCGCGTGCTCGATGCCCCGCCGCTCCTGTTCTCGGCGACAGGGGCGCGCGGCAGCGACGCCAAGAGCGCGCTGAGCGGCCCCCCCACGTCGTCGCACGCGATATCGTAGCCGCCGGCATAATGCGCATTCCGGAGCACCCGAATGCTGGCTGCGTCGTCTGGTAGGGGAAGGTCGAACCAGGCAGCGAAATCCAAGGCGCCGAAGGTGAAATTATGAAGCCACTGAGAAACGCACGCATCTTCCCAGCTGCCGCCAAACATGCTGACGTGCGCGGGGAAGTACGCGTCCTTCTCGCCGAGTGGGGCGAACATGATGAACTGGGGACTCTGCGCTGCGAAGATAAACTTGTAATACTTGCACTCGCCGCCGGTCTGAAGCCCCCAAATGGTCGACGCAAACGACTCCCTGTTTCGAACGACCGCGGGGAACCAGGGCGGTCTGTCGTGCTTCCCCTCTTCCTCAGCTGCGTACCCCTCGAGCTCATCGAGAAACGTCTTGGTGAGCTTAGGCGGCGCCTCTCTGGCTGCCTTGCGCATGTCATCCAGACCGCGACCATCCCTGAAGGCGCCGCTGTTGAAGATCTCATCCCACTCCAAGAAATCACCCTGCGCCAGTTTGCAGGAAGAGAACCGGAGCGGCGGCTTCTCTGCAGCTTTTTTGAGTCGTTCCCTGTTGAACGCCTGCAGGTTGCGGGCCTCGTCAATTTATTGCTCTTGCTGGGAGAGAATCAACCTTGCCTTCCTATCGTAATCGCGCTTCCTCGCGGGATCCATGCTTTCCCAACCCCTGCCATGCAACCTGATGACGTCTTTGGACTTCAACCCGCGTTGGCCGTCTGCCTCCCGGACCTTGGACAACTCAACGAGTTCCTTCACATACTGCTCACGCCCCTGGTAACTTTGCGGCCGCCTTTTCTCGAGGCGCTTCAAACGATTGTGTAGCATGGCTTCGCGGCGTTCGTCCTCGTCGAGGCCTGGGGGGACCTTCTTACTCATGTGCATGAACGCCCTCGCCATCAGGCCCTCGCACGTTGTGTCAGGGCGAAATTTGCCCCGGAGCGCCCCCGAAGCGTGCAAATGCTCCGCCGCAATCGTGTCCCAGGGTATGTCGGCCAGCAGCGCGACACCCTGTCTGTTGACACGCCGCCCCCCAGGGAATTTGTCCAGATGCCACATCTGCTCCGTGATGGGTTCGGTCGGTATCGGGCCTCGTTTGAGAGCGTCCAAATTGGCATCAACGTCTCCACGAACCATGCACCAAGGGGCGCCTTCTGCTTTCCAGACAAAGCGAAACATCATGAAACCGATGGCGACGTGGGCCGCGCCAATGGACGAGTGCCGCACTTCAGGGCCAGCCATGTTGCAGACTCTCCCGAAGAGACCCCATATACCATCGCCATAGTTGCAAAGTTTATCCATCGCCTCACGAATAGTTGTCTTCAGAGCGCACAGGTGCATGGCCACCCGGGAATCTCTGAGCAACATCTGCATCACTGCGCCCGCTGGGAAACTGGCCGTAGCAGCCGTCACCATGAAGTGAAGTTCGTCCGAACCGAGCCGCTCCACGCCTCCCAAGTAAAAGTCCTGCGCGTTGGGGCGGTCCAGCACGTGCTTGGCGAGTCCGCGCAGCCCGCCAAATATTGCTCCGACGCCCATCTGGCAAGCCCGGGTTGCAGCATGCCACCTGGGGGGTCCCAGCCTAACCGTTTTCCCGACACTGAATTGCCAGGCGCCTGGAACGCCGTAGCCCTGCCCCCCCTCTGCGCGAACCGAAAAACATTCGCCGCCGTCGATAACCCTGGCGACCGCTCCGCCTGCCCACCCACCCCCGCCACCCGCCCGCCCAAATTGCGCTAGGCCCCCTGGGCCGCCCAAAACCTCCAACCCAGAAAATTAACGTGGCCCCCATCGTTTCTCCTTGGGGAAGTTGATTCGGACAAGGGCCGCAACCGCACCTGCTGCCATTGAACTTTTTCAAGCGCCAGACGCTGAACAAGCAGAAATTCATATTGGTGAAGGTGTCCTCGCCCGCATCGCCTGTGTCAAGGATCTCGAGTCGACCCCCAAAGTACCGCAAGCGCAAGCTGACCAGGGTGGCCACGACGCTCTCCTCCACGCCCATCGCCAACCAGAAATGTTTCAAATCGTCTGGGTCGTCGAGTTCCTCGGCGGAGCGAGCGACCGTAACGTCCCACATCCACTCGGGAGTCAACCCGCTCAACTGTTGCATGCTATCGCGAAGGCTTTCGATGGCCAAGTGCACGTTTTTCATCAGAGATTTGTTATGGTACCACGTCCACAAAGACCACTCGATTGACTTATGGGTGTCGTGCATGCTGCACCCTGTTTCGACAAACCACTGCATCAAATACAAAATGTCCGGCGGATGCTCGTAGATATCTGTTTGTTGGACGGCTTCCTTTTTTCCACCATTGCTTCAATATGCGAGAAACTGATGCTAATAAGGCGCGGTCAAATGCGCAATGAAATATGATGAGGCCTCCATGGCCGTATTTCCTCGGGTTCATGATCATACGCAAAGCGAAAGCAGCCGATGCGGCAGCTCCTTGGCCGTCTGTCATGGGATTTGGCTCATCAAACATGACCGTGACATTCTTGCGACCTGAGGGGTCGACGAATTCGAGGAAACACAGCTGCACGTAGTATTCGAGAAACTGGCGCCCACATAGCCTGGCACGTTTGCAATTGTACCGGACGCTGGAACCATGCACCGTTCGGAGTTTTGTGCCATCGCCAGCATACGACAGCAGAAGCGGCCTCCCATCTGCTTCAGCAATGCTGCGCTCAAACCGCCTCCTCCAAAACTCCTTGCCTGATTCAGTCACGCGTTCCAGCGTGCGCAACTCTGCAGAATCATGGTGCAAGGACGGTTTGTGCCATTTCTCCAGAAGCCGAAGGACCTCTGGTTTGTCAGGTGCCTCCGACGGCGCGGCCATTACCCTTGAGCCTACATGGCTACAAATACAGACTGCCACGATGGCGATGCTGCCAATGAAGATGAGGCTGGCAATGTGGACGTCGCGGATACTAACGACAGTAAGGGGGGCAACGCCCAAAAGCCTGACGCAACCTGAATGAGGGGGACTTCTGTGCTCGAGACTGCCCTGCGCAATGCAACGCGATGAGGGTTAACGCAATGATGTGCAACGCAATGCAAACAATAACGCAGCATAGCGATGTACAGTATAGCGCCGCTCACCATAACATGGCATTGCAACATTGTGCAGCGTCGAATGGCATAGCATAACAAAGAAATCAATGTCACATATCAAATCGCATCGAACCCTACGCCCTCACACGACCTCAAACACGGTTGATCTGGTTGGATGTCCTGGCACGCACCCCAGGGTAAGTCCAGACAGAAACACATCGAGTCGCGACGGCTCACTTTCGCCACAGAATCACAGCATGCAGGGCCTGGGGCCAATGGAAACACAGCAAACTTATTGGGGGGCCGCAGACTCGCATCTTTGATCGTAAGACCGCCTCGACGTGCATGTGTGTTCGTGCCCATTCTGGGCGCCTTGCGCCCTGGCCCCCACTCCCCCTCATTTTCTTGCACCTTCTACCTTCTCCCAACCCTCGTCCATCGAGGCCCCGTCCTCCCTCCCCCCCCGTCTGCCCCACCCCCCTTCCGATGCTCCACTCTCCCTCCCTCACTGCCCCTCCCCCCATCCATTCTTCCTCCCTTCCCCTCCTGCCTCTGTTTTCCCTCCGTTTTCTTCCTTCCTGGCCTCCAGCGCGGTCCTTCGAAACCGCTGGGCGCGGACCGAACGTGCTTCTCCCCAGGGGCCTGGAGAGGCCCTCACCAACTTTCAAAAATCGCCTTTTCGGAGGTGATTTTGAAAATTGGTGAGGGGCCGCTCCGGGCCCCTGGGGAGGGCGCTTGGAGGAGCTCGGAGGAGCTCGGGCTGATACTTGCTAGGACCATCTCGGAGCCATCTTGTGGCCCTCTTGGGGCCATCTTGGGGCCCTCTTGGGGCCTCTTGCGGCCCTCATGGGGCCCTTTGGCTTTGGGGGCCCTGCGGGAGCTCTCTGAGGGCCCTAAGAAGCGTCCAGGAGGGGCTCAGTGAGACCCTTGTCAAACTCCGTCTGACGGAGATTGAGCTGATACTTGCTAGGACCATATTGGAGCCATCTTGGGGCCCTCTTGGAGCCATCTTGGGGCCCTCTTGGGGCCTCTTGCGGCCCTCTTGGGGCCCTTTGGGGGCCCTGCGGGAGCTCTCTGAGGGCCCTAAGAAGCGTCCAGGAGGGGTTCAGTGAGACCCTTGTCAAACTCCGTCAGACGGAGTTTGAACTGATACTTGCTAGGACCATCTTGGAGCCATCTTGGGGCCCTCTTGGAGCCATCTTGGGGCCCTCTTGGGGCCTCCTGGGGCCTTCTTGGACCCCCCTGGGGGCACTCCCAGGGCTCCAAGAGTGCCCCGAGAGGGGTCCAAGAGAGCCCCAGCAGGCTCCAAGAGGGCGCCAAGACGGCCCCAAGAAGGAGTCCCTGGGCTGTCCCCCAGAAGGGGTCCTGGGGGACAGCCCGAGACGCTCATGTTGGACCCCCCTGGGAGCCCTCCCAGGGGTCTAAGAGAGCCCGAAGAGGGCTCCAAGCGGGCCCCAGCAGGCTCCAAGAGGGCCCCCAGACAGCCCTCTTGGACCCCTCTTGGGGCTCTCTTGGGCCCCGGTTGGAGCCCCCTGGGGCCATCTTGAGACCCTCTCGGGGCTCTTTGGAACCCTCTTTGTTGCACTCAATGCTGCTACATTGCGTGCTGCTACACTTCCCTGGCCACGGCATCTCGCCTACGCATTTTCCCTGGATGGGCTGGTGGGGATACGTGAAGTGTCAAAAACTTATTGCATGTGAAACGAGCGCGCCCCCGGAATCGCAAGCACGTGCGTGCTACAATCCGCAAATACACCCGCGTTGCCATCGTCTATAATCCCAGCATTGCCCCATCCCAAATCTAACGCAAACACACATTCGAAACCATAATGATGCAAAACCCAACGCTGTTCCAAAAATCAAGTCTTCAAACCATGCGGCGATCGTTTTCGAGGGTCCGAATCTTGAGTCAAACCTGAAACCCTGAAGCCCTGAGAGTTTGGATGTTTGGGTTTTTTGGGGAAATGAGAGTTTGATGGCCTCGACACAAATCAAAGAAAAACGTATGGTAGCTTACTCATGTACATCAATTGCATATTTTGCAGTGTTTCCTGATTTCGAATGGTAAGCTGTCACACGATGCGGCTCGCGAGATGTCAGGGGGGCTCAGGCGCGTCACACTCTGACGCGTTCAAGCTTTCGAAAGTTAGCCAAGCTCGCGCTAGGATTCCCTGAGGCGCACCCTTGGTCAATGTTCTGGCGCAATCCCGCCTGCAGTTTCTGCAAGCCCGTCTGATTTGATTTCCGAATGGATTTTCTCTCGCAACATAAAATGTCCATCGATGTTTTCACTCAGTTTTCACTCGGGGCGTCTGGCCGAGTGAGTACATGGGCACTGTGATGTACACAGGCGCTGTGGTGCACGCAAGCACTGTGGTGTACACAGGCGCTGTGATGCAGATCGCCACCTACATGGTGCTGCTACCCCTCCCCGATCATTTCTGACCACCTACCAGACCACGCCAACCCAACCCGAAGACCCGAATTTGACCCGAACTTCGGGTTGGGGGGGGACGGGTTCCATGTGTTTTGTTCAATGTTCCCCGACCCCCTCCCATTGGAAATGTAAAAAAATTGAAGCCTTCGGGTTTGGTTGGGGTCGTTTGGCGGGTGGTGAATTCCTAGGCATTCCCAGACGCCGCCGGCGAGAATCGCGACGTCACCGGCCCTCGAAAACCCACCCAACAATCTGGACACAACCCGGAAGCGCAGGGCAGAGGAACGCCACGAAGAGGGAGTCAGGCGCAGTCGTGTCTGCACGCAAAGGCACAGGCGGAGCTCCGCGCGAGCATCCGGATTTGGGTGGCTCACGGAACAAAAGAAGCAACAGGCAAGTGGGCAAGGCAGAGGTCGAGGAGACAGTCCTCGACAGAGAGGAGGGAAAAGGACCGACATGCGCTCTGCAGGCACGGCCACTTCACCGCATCAACGACATCGGAGAGAACTCGCAGCGAGCGGACAACTCTAGGACGGGCTGGGGATCCGCCGCAAGACAATGCAAAACGCATGGCAAGTGGAACATGTAAGAGTGGAGACATGCGTAGAGGAAGGAAGGATGAGGAGGATGCGGATGGGGGGCACTCGAAGGAGGCTGTAACGCAAGGCTATGGACAAAACCTTTGCTGCACGCGCGCCCACTTACAGCCCAGGACTCCAAAGAAAACCTGGGGGCCCTGGGGCGAGGGGGACTGTTCGGCAACGGGGACATTGAGTTCCCAAAACACAAACCAGGAATACCAAATTTCGCGCCATCGGCGCCACGGAACATTACGCACCGTTTTTTGTTGATATCGCGAGCTTGTGAAGCTCACCTGAAGAAGTACCAGAGGACCATTCAGTCTTGAATTTCGGTGTCTGAATTCTTACATGTATGATTATTTTCCGAAGCATCCTTCCTGCTCACCCTGACCTGCTCCGTCCACCGTCTGCAACGGAGACGGCCGAACGCGGTTCCACGGAGTCGAGGCGCGCACACGCTTGACATCGATTCAAACAAGCGGCAGCACGCTACGCCTGACTCGCGCGTGAAGCGCTGGCAACAAAATCTGGCACGCAACACAGCGCCCCCGCTGGCTGGCCGCCCCCTGCCTACTCCACCGACCGACTGCTCCGGCTTCTTCTGCCACGATCCCTCCTGCTCACCCTCGACTCCTCTATTCACAATCGGCAAACTGCTGATCGCGGTGTCACGGAAAAAAAGGTGCGCACACGCTTGCCATCGATTAAAACAAGCGGCAACGCGCCAAGCTTGACGACCATTCGGACGACCTGGCAGCACATCGGAGGCGCGACAGTAGATGGACAATAGATTCAAACCCTCTCACATTCGAGGGAGATTCTAAATCGCTCCCGCGCCCCCGACATCAATGTTGATCTCAGAAAAGGCGGTGCTTTGGGGTTCGAATATTTCTGTCCACTCACCCCCCCCCGTCGCCACGCAATCAATATTAATTTTGGTGGGTCGGGGGGGCATCTTGGGCCGCAGGGTTCGAATATAATGTCCATGTACGGTCCTCCCCCTCCTCCTCCTCCTCCTCCTCCTCCTCTTCCTCCTCCTCCTCCGCCTCCGCCTCCTCCTCCTCCTTCTGTTCCTCCTCCTCCTCCTCCCCCTCCTCCTCCAGAGCAGCGGAGGGCCCCGTGGAGATTTTGGCCTGGATCGCAAC